TATTATATTAGTAATACAAAATAGCTGAATATATTAGCCAATATTAGTAGTTTATCCTACTCAAATTATAGTATTACCAATATTTTAAATACTTCTTCAAGTTAAGATTAATTTGGTGGAATCATTTTACTAAAGATATGTTTTAAAGATACTTTTTTGTACATTTAATTGCTCAATATTTTTTGCACTTTTAACTTATTTAGATTACATATTTGAATTTTAAAGTTCAATATTTATTAATTAAATAAAATGATTGGTTAAGTAAAACTATCATTGAATCAATTAATACTATTTTCTAAATAACATTATTTAATTGGAAAATATGAGTATTTTTAAATTTGAAACTTCACATAAGAAATAATCAATAATATCTTATCGTTTTGAGAATATTTAATTTTATAAAAATTCATCAAATTTTAATATTTCATAATGATTTGAGTTTTAAAGATTTAAATATAGATGAAGAGATGGATAAATATAATTTATATTTTTAGAAGATATACTGTAACTATTGTTTTTGTTTTGTATACATAAATATTTAAAATTTGAGTTCGAATATATTCACAAACCAACAATCAAACTTAACTTTTAAAGCATAAAATTACTGGAAGAATATTAAAACAAAATTTTACTTTTATACAAATTAGTCATGCAAAATAGACTTGAAAATGTTACAAAGTTAATTAAAGGGTTAAATGATAAATTTGTCCCTTAAACTCATTTTTTGTGCAATGTTTTCCTCTAATTTTTAAAGACAGTGAAATATTACCCCTACAATTAAAAATGATAATTTTGATCATTAGTTGGCCAAAAAATTATTAAAAAGGACCTTAAAAATTACAAAAAAGAGACCAAAAAAATTTTCTTGATCATTCTAAGTATTTTTGCCCTTTGTCTATATTTTTGGATCTTTTTTCATAATTTTTTGTTCAATTAACGTTCAAAGTTGGAGGATGCACAAAATGATATGTGACATTTAAAAAGATACATATTAAAATAATCATTGTCTAGTCAATTTAATAACTTTCTCATAACCTCTCACTAAAATATTTAATACATGAGATCGTTTAAATAATTGAAATAACTTTGAAAATTTGAATTATATTTAGTATAAATAATTATTATGTGTAATTTTAAATTTTAAAATTTTAAATAAAATCTATCTTTAAAGTTAATATATCTTATTACTTAAAATAAGATGCTAATCTATATAAATATTTAAAATCATATTTTAAAGTCAATTTAGCTATATAAATATATATTTTACACACACATAATGTGACCACTATTTTAGTTTATTTATAAATATTTAAAAATTTTGCCCAAACTTATTTATAAACTAACAACAAAACTTAGCTCCTCAAGCATCAAATTACATATAAAATGCACATAAAATTATTAATAAAAGTTGACCCAACTTTTATAAGCTCAGCCTTTAAGGGCTCGAGTTCATAAATTCAATTTTTTTAAATCTGACCTTTATTGGTAAGATTTAGGACTAAGTTTGAAAGCCTGTATAGTTTTTTAAAAAAATTTAAAATTTTAATTATACTAATACATATATAGATTATAAAGTACCTTAATTAAATATCTAAAAGACAATAATAATCTTTGATGTATAATGAAAATAATGCAAACATAGAATATAATATAAGTTATACAAGTCCTAATTTTCTATCATTCAAAATGCAAATATAATGTTAAAATATTTTGATAGAAATTTATTTTTGACTAAAAATTTTAATATGATTTAAAATTTGTTAGTTGTAATTTAACATATATTCATAATTTTACTGAAAATCTTTTTTATTTTGATGTGAATGATAAAATTGCATCCAAAAACTATTCTTGGTCTCTTTTCTTGGTTAAAAAAAATCATATAATATTGCATCCTTAAAATAAAAATATAAAATATAAAACTATTGATATATATAATAAAGATAAATAAATTTCATTATTGAAATATATCATAATAAAATAATTTTTAAAAAGTAAAAATGTAATTTTAAAATAAAAATCATGTTTAAAAAATAGTGAAAATACATTTAAAAATGATTAAAAAATAATTAAATTATATTTATAAAATTTATCAAAAAAATAAAATTTAAAATACTATATTATAATATCTAAAAGAACATAATTTAAAGTTGTGAAAAAAATCTTAATTTATTAGAATTAAAATTTAGATTTAAAAATAATTTTAATATTTTTATTTATATTTATTAGAATTATATAATATCTTTTGGTATTTTATTAAAAATCCAAATTTATTGATTATATATAGTAAATAACTAATTAAATGAGAGAAAATGTTATAAATTTGAAGATATTACATAATTGTCTCATAACAAAATAATAATTTGAATTTCAAATAGATAGATCTATACATTTTATTAGTTTATTTTTCAAGTTGGACCAGTCAAAATATAATCAAAATTTAATTTTATTATTTATGAAAATATAAAATAGTGCTTACTCCATTTTAAATTGTTCAATTTGAATTTCAAATAGATAAATTTAGTTAAAATAAAATAAAAATATATAAGAATGATAAATTGTCCTGAACCTAACTTCATACTCTGAACCTATCAAATAAATAAGTCCAAAAGAATAAATAATTCTTTCAGACCTATTTATTTTATTTGATAATCAAGTTGTACATATTAAATAAACACTTTATTATTTTTGAAAAATAAATTCAAAAAAATTTAAATACATACCAATTAAGTAATTATCATTTATTACCTTTCTATTTGCAAGTTCTAGAATATTAACAAAATTAAACCGAAAATGATAAATGAAATCCGTCTCAGGATGCAATTTCACATTGGTAGAGAACATGAAAGCTAACCTTATAAGGATAATCCATTGTCTTATATGATCAGGAACGTTGAGAGCCCCCAAAATTTTGAAATTTCATATATTTTAAAGGAATGCTACCTATCTCTAAAATATCTCGCAAAAGGCTTTCAAATGACTACAGAAATTCAACACCGTTGGATTCTTTGAATGTATTTTTGATTGTTAATCTCCAAACATGAATCACACTAATTACAATGTGTTAATCCTTTTTCATTGTGTTGATGACACAAATCGCATAAATCACAAATGTAGAAGCTATGGATAATATGAATAATAATTGAGAGGAGAATAAACCTAATGCAATTAGATGATTAAGTTGGACATGAAGGTATGAAATATGCTATTAGCATAACTTAGTAATTTATAATTGAATAAGGCTCATTTGGGAGGAGAAATTAAGAGGTGATTTAATTAAAAAATTAAAATGATAGATATTAAATATTTATTTTTTTAGTGTAGATATTAAAGGAATTTGAATTTTACCAAACATAATATATGAATTTAATATAATGAGATCCTGATTATTAATATATAAAATTAATAGTTCAAACAATTGGTTGTAGAATCCAAATTATATAAATATAGAAAAAATTAATATGTGAATTTAACATAATGAGACCCAAATAATTAAATATATTATACTTTATCATATTTATATTTTTTAAAAATTCATGAGGATAAATTTAAATAGTAAAACATATATTCTTTTTCTAAATATTTAAATAGATGTATATTAATTTAAATTTGAATCCCAATATATAGCCATATATATATACTTGAAATTATGAATGAACTCAGATTTTCACCATATATTTAGGTTGGATAGAGGTATTAAATAGATAAATAGTAATTAGCAATTTAAAGGAAATTTAAAGAATACTAAGTAAAACAAAGGAAATTGTGATTCTTTTTATTAATCTAATTGATATTTTTATTTTTTTTGGCATGAAATTGCTAGATTGATTTTTAATTCTAATATCAAATTCGAAGAATTCCTACTAAATCATGTATCAAAAAAATATTAATATTTAATATTAATAGATAGATATTAATTTACTAAGTTATATATGAAAAAAATATTGAACCTAGATTTTTGCTATATATTTAGGTTGGATAGAGTTATTAATTTGAATTTAAACATAACCAGATTTAAATTTTAAATAGATAAAAATATATTTTTATATACATCTAAAAATGAATAATTCATCCCGCACCTAACTCCAAACCTAAATAATATATTTTATGTTTCTCAAAAAACAATAACACATCTCAAACCTAACCTCAAACCTAATTTCAGAGTATAGAATCGCAAGAAAAGCATTTTGAAGTACAGAATTATAACAAACCTAAAAATGAACATGTGGCATTCTCTCGTAGTCTTAAATCTTACTTTTATAAATATAATGATGATTACTATCAATAATTAGTAACTTATTTAACAACACTTGCAAGTCACCAGACTAATTTTATTTTTTAAAAACCATATTCCAATTTCAAAACACATATCACGCAGGCAAGTAATGGTCAACAATTGACATACCCAATAAGTGGGAAAGTACCTATACTAAATGCTTTACATGAATAGGGCAAAAATGGTGAATAAACTTACTATCAAAAGGAAGAGAGATATCAGTGAATGAGTGTACTTGGAACAGAGAAGAAGACTCGACTTTCTCGCTTTTATGCAGGTCATTAATGGCGAAAGACGAAATCCCTCAAGATGGGAGTGAAAACGTCAACTGAAATCTAGCCGAAAATGAAAATGTAAACCAGAAAGTCAAGAGTTTAATGAAGATGAAAATAGAGAGTAGAAACTAAAGATTGAAAACAGATCTCGATAATGGTTCTTTAGAAAAACATTGTGTTCTTTCTCCATTATCACATACAAATTGAACTTATATTTTAATATTTGAACTGAAAATATTTTCATCTTTTATACATTCAAATTATTTTCAGTTCAGTCTTAGAGGGTTGAATTGAAGTTTTGGATTATTTAAGGAGCCATGAGCAATTAAAGGTCATTTCATGTCTTTAACTGAAATTCTCCCCTTAGTCTAAGGGTTTTTCTTTGTTTTTTTTGTTTTTTTCCTAAGAATAACTTTTACCATTTTAAGCATTTTCCATTTTCTCTTGTTTTATCCGCTTACTTAGATTGGACCTTGGGGGTAGCCGCCACCCGCAGTCTCCATGGCCACCTCCGTCATCTCTGCCCGCATTTGCCGTCGTCGTCTATCTTTCACTTTCCCCCTTTTATCGCAACTCGTCAACACTAAACTCCTTACATCGTCACCTAACTCAACACCGCCATTACGGCCTCCACCTCCTCCATATGATACTTACAGACCTCACTATCGATTGGCCTTGAACTCTTTGGCAGTTCTTGGTGCCTTTTCCTCGCGTACCTTCTCTACTTCTTTTCCTGACGATGACTCGGAAATCTTGGGTAGTGATCCACTGGTTTTGTCGGAGCTTTTGAATGGAAATGAGCCGGTGGCTGCTGGTGTCACCGACGGGAACGACTACATTTTCCCTGTTCAAGCTGTGATCTCGATGCTTGATGGATTTCATGATCTCACTGGACTGCCATGGTGAGCCCTGTTGACATCTGGTTATTTGTGTATGAAATTTCTAGTACAGGCTATAAACATGAATTGATTTTATCGAATCTTTTCGTTTCATAATACTCTTTTTTAATATTTTGTTTTATTAGTGTTATTGTTCGTTCTTCAATCCTTTAAATTCTGGTTTCTGACTCTATCATTGTTCACTTTTCTAACTTCAACATCTTGTCGAATAATTGGTTCCCAGGTGGATGGTCATAGCTTCCTCTACTTTGGCTCTCAGAATCATAATACTTCCGGTTCTAATTTTTCAACTTCATAAGACTCAAAGGCTTGTCCAGTTTCTCCCTGGATGTAAGTTGCCAAGGCCAATATTCCACTTTGAGCTTTTATAGAACCGACTACTCCCCTTTTATAGTCCTTAGCTTAGTCATCCTGAGTAGCTTGCGACATCATCTTGTGTTTAGTGGACTGGCATTTCCTAGTCTTCTCTCATTGCAAGTAGCGATCGGCACTCCCTACTGGGGGCTAATCCTTTTGCATCTGAGTACATTTTACAAAGTGTTGTAACAGTTGTGCAGCGGACACACACACACACACACACGCCGTGCATTTGCACATCATGCATGCAACCCTCTTTATTTGGCTTCTTTTGATTTTTAGCTTGACTGTTATCCACTTTGAAAATATGCTTTCTTTAATTTTAATATGACAATGAATCGAGAGTTGATGCTGATGTCCTTTTGTAACAAAGCATTAGTGGAAAAATCTTTTTCCTTCCTCATATATTGATAAAATGCTAAATTTATTATTTATTATTAATTTTTGTTTGACTCCTTCATTTCTTAAAAGTGCCTCCTCCATTCCCACCACCTATGTCAAAAAGGAGTTTTAAAGCCCAGTATTTGCTATTCGAGAAGGAGAGAAAAGCAATTGGATGTCCCTCATTACTTTGGCAGCTTTCATTCTTGACTGTTCAGGTGATATATCTATTTTCAATGGGAAAAATGTGATTGAATATTAAAAAGAAAATAACTTTCATTATACCTATACCACCATATCCAAATTAAAACACCAACCAATGCATTAATGATGATTAAAAAAAATAAAAATAAAGATCGTTTGGTGTGAAATTTCAATATTTGCAACATGATGATTAGAGCAGCACCAGAGTCTCAAATTAATAGACAGTAAGTGCTATTCTCGAATTTTTGGATAATATTATAGATATTCAAAATTTGATGTTAATTCTGGTCCCCTGCACCTCCTATAAGAGAAAACTTCTACTGCATTTACATTAACAAACGATGATATGATTCATTGATGCTGGACAGAAGAGAAAAGAGGCATAGAAATGAGAGAAAAGCAAAAACATAGATCCGAGGGAGACAAGAAACAGAGGAATTTTAAAGGGGGAAGAGAACAGGGGTAGATGCAGTTTAGGGAGACAAAAACACTCCTGATGAATATTCCTCACATTTGTCTAGAATAAACTACCAAAGGGCCATACATAACATAGGAGCCTAAACTATAAGAAGAGATAGAAAATACAAAAAAAAAAAAACATAATTTAAATAAAAATGCAATTTAAAATATTAATTTCTGAGTAAAATCAGAAGATTAGTATCAAAATCTAGCCCCGTCTGATGAATAGGGTATATCTCTTATAAGATTGGTATGAACAATCATACTACTCTATTCTGCACAGGGAGAGAATTTAGGACTAATTAAGAATATGGAATTATGGATGGATGGACAGATGGGTCACGTATAAGAGGATCAGAAATCTCTGATTTTAATTGGCAAAACAATTCCAGTGCTAAATGGCTAAAATTCATCCTATTTTTAACTTTTTGTTTTTGATTCACCTCCAGGTTCCATGTTTTTTCTTGTGGATGTTTAGCATACGGAGGATGTCACTGGATGGTCACCCTGGTTTTGATTGTGTAAGGCGTAAAAGACAAGAATGCATGGTTTTTGTAATTTTCAAATATTTCTATCAGAAAAAGTTATATAGTTGTGATGTCACTTTAGAATGAGATGATAATGTATAAACTACAAAGATCCAATTCAATTGGATAGGATATATGTGACAGATTATGAAATGATAAAGATCTAGCTTTAAGGATGCCATCTCATCTAACATTAGTGATTAGACTTATTTTGAGACTTTATTGCTGAGAGAAACTATATCTTACTGTCTATATTTATAACATGCATGGTATGTTCTGAGACTTTCATTTGGCTTTGAAGAATTTTGACATATTGCTTCTGTTGCAGGGTGGAGCTTTATGGTTCCAAGATTTAACAGCACTTTCTCATGGTTGGTCAGGTTTCATAATCCCTTCATTGATAGCTGGTTTGCACTGTGCTAATGTTCAGGTAATGGAATACTGTATCCTTATGAATGAGGAATTCAACCTGAAATCTGATTTACCTGTTTACCTTATGTTTTGCATTAACTCTGTCATACATTTAACATGAACTGGATCCATTTTGTTAGCAATTCTGTCATTCAGGGTTAGATTCTAGCATGTTAGTGATCCGTGGCTTACTTGTCACAAAAATTACATTTTTTTGTTTTTGCTATCTTGTATTTGAAATTCTCAAAGAACTGCTAAGGTTTATTTATATGTCTTTCTGAAAAGTCTTTTCAATTAATTGGTCTCAGTTCAACTTCAGCCTGCAACTATTGGCTTATCTGCGGCTGTCTTTAGATTCTAACGTGATAGATGTATTTTAGGATATTTTTTTCTTTAAACAAATCTCTTGGGCATGTTGTTATTCCTTAATTCAGTTCCTTTATTTCCCTAAGGGCAGGAATAAATTTGTGATAGGATATGTGCTAACTTGTTATTTAATTGATTTGTCAGACATCCTTTCAGAAAAAATTAGTTGGAAAGGCTGGTGGCGCTCTTGCCTTGCTAGCAGACGTGAGTATGTGTAACTTGTGTAGCATATTTTTTTGTTAATATTACGCAACATTTCCTTTTCCAAAAATAGAGCTGATACCTGATTTTTTTGTTTCCGAACAGTTAGATGAATCTCATATTCTTAACTAATGTTGTTTTAAGAAATTGAGTCTGGCAAGGGTAATTCTTCAGTCATAGAATAAAAAGCAATATTTCCTGAAGTTGGTGACCATTGTCTTTAATTGTCTTTGCTACTGCAGCTTTACAAGGGGTATTTGAAGTTTCTTGCAGTGCCCATATTTTTCATTGCGTTGGCTATTCCTCAGGTAACTTTGATCTGTTCAGTTTGTCTGTAGGATGTTGTCTCTAGTGTAACATTTTTTGTTCTCTAATATCTTTTGACATACACGTAAGAGCATAAAGTTGGAGTAGCAGAGATGAGAATGTTACGATGGATGTGCGGACATACACGTAAAGATAAAATTCGAAATGAGCACATACGTGAAAAAGTGAGGGTGGCACCTATTGAGGAAAAAATGGTAGAAAATCGGTTGAGATGGTTTGGGCATGTACAAAGAAGACCAAGGGAGGCACCAGTGAGAAGAGTGGAACATATAACTTTGAGTCCGATTAAGAGAGGTAGAGGAAGGCCTAAGAGAACACTCTTGGAAGTTGTTGAACGTGATCTCTTAATTAATAATATTTCTAAAAGCTTAATAAATGATAGAGCACAATGGCGTCTTGCAATCCATGTAGCCGACCCCACCTAGTGGGATAAAGGCTTGTTGTTGTTGTTGTTGTTGTTGTTGTAATATCTTTTGACATTTTATTTGAGTTTTCTTTTAGATGTCAGTCAAAGTTAAACCTTTGGTTTCTTTTGACTTCGTAATATGAATCTTTCTCCGCATTTTGACAGGGTTTATGGGCACAAACTTTGAGAAACTTTTAATTTAATCTTAAATTACAGCTTTTATATTTCCCATGCATCTCTTGAGGTAGAATATTGAGATTGTGATTAAAACTGCACGTTGGAGCTAAATTTCCATTTTTAAGTTTTACAGGAAATTTAATGATCAAGACGTTATAGAAACTTGAGAGATTTTCTTTTTCTTTTTTAATGACAAAACTTGAGATTTATTTTTGCAGAAGATGTAGAACTTTTATAAAGCAAGGCAATATTTCCTTTACAAATTACTATCCATTAGAACTAAGAGTATAATAGTTTTTATTAATACGATTCAGTGAACATTGATCTCGGGTAATTATATTATTTTATAGAATTACATTTTTAAACATTTTGGTCTATGGGCAAATACTCTTGCTTTTAAATAAAAAAATGGAGGGTGGTTTCTTAGTTGAGGGAGTGCATGAAATCTTCAATTGTGAAATGAAAATAGGGGAACTGTAAGTTATAACTTTTTCTTGAATTTCATGAGAAGATTATGTGGTTGTTGCAGTAGCTCGCTTCAGCTTTATAAGAGACCTTGAAGACTTGTTTCAGCAGGAGAAACTGACAAAAACTGAATTAAGTTATTTTTATTACTTTTGTTTATTTCAAATTATTTTGAATAATATTGTTTGAGAGATTTTAGGAGTTGTTTCAGCAAAATAAGGAACCATATGTTAAGGGGGTTCAACATTTGTTAGTTATTTAGGGATTATTCATATTTAATTCTGTTAGTTTAGAATGTACTTAAGCTCTATAAATCTTCTAGCCACTGAAAAGCTAGTATGATATTTTACCCATTGGAGATTCTCCTAACTTTTGGTTATTAAGAGACTATAAAGTAAGATAATTGCTTTATATTTTCTTAGTAGCATTATTCTACCTTTATTTTCTTTATATGACTTGAGTGCTTACCAATTTGGCATCAAAGGTTTGTTCGAGATGGTGAACAAACATTCCGGAAACCCTTCTATCTCCTCCAATGACCCTCCACCACCTCCTGACCCTTTCAAAAATCCATTTGCTTCTTCATTAGACCCATTAACCACCGTAGCCTCCAGACTTGAGAGTTTTGAAATTTTAACAGACAAAGTGATTGCTCTTTGCTATAATTTGTGAGAGAAGGGAGAGAGACGATTGTATTACCCTAATTATTCTAAAACAGAAAAATCCCATATATTTAAGGATATAATATAATTAGGAAATATTCTACGAATCAGGTTATAATTGGAAAACTAGGTCTGACTCTCTAATGGGCCCAAGGGGCAGCAAGTCTGCTTCCAACATTCCCCCTTAAACTGGCTTGCTTCTAAATCCTTTGAACTTCTTGAGTCAATGATTTTGTCATCACACCAACAATCTGTTGACCAGAAGGAATATATGCTAAATCAATTGTTTTGTTTTCAATTTTCTCCCTGATGAAGTGCTGATTGATCTCTACATGTTTCATTCGATCATGTTGACTTGGAATTTTGGCAAATGGCTGACATATTATAACACTAAACCTTTATTGGAGAATTCACAACCATCTTCAACTCCCTTAGAAGTCTTATAGGCCACATTCCTTCACACACTTCAAGGATGATGCTTGAAATTCTGATTCAGCTGAGCTTGTTGATACAACAGGTTGTTTTTTACACCTTCAAGTCATGAGATTACCCCACACATAGAAGCAATAGCCAGTAGTAGAGAGTCTATCACTTTTGGAACCTCCCCAATTTGCATTAGTGAACATCTCTATGCTTTTGGAGTTGCCCTTGTCAATGAACAAGCCTTGTCCTGGTGTTTTCAAGTACTTGAGAATCTGATACACCATTGTTATATGTTCTGTTTGAGGACTACTAGATGACTTCCTCACCACACTTACAAGATAGCATATGTCAAGTCTCATGTGGGACAAGTAGATCTTCCTACCAGTCTTTGATATCTTTCTTGTCAACTGCTTTACCATCTGGCCTAATCATCAACTTTTGATTAAGCTTCATGCCTAAGAAGTCAATACCATGCTTGTTTGGTTCCCAACATGCCTATCTCTTTTAGTAAGTCAATAGCATACTTACGTTGAGACATGCTAATTCCTTTTGAGTCTTGGCTACTTTCGTACCCAAGAAGTATCTTAGAGTTCCAAGATCCTTGATATCAAATTCAGCAGCTAGTTTATCCTTTTAGTTGATGATCTCCTTGGCATCATTTCCCGTGTGGACTATGTCATCCACATACACAATGAGAGTAATGATTTCTCAACCACAATGCTTCACAAATGAAGTATCATTTGCTTGGCATTGAGTATATCCTTGTTTCTTTATTGCTTCGTTGAACTTGTCAAACCGAGCCCTTAGGGACTGTTTTAGTGCATTGAGAGATTTGAAGAGTCGTCAAATTTTATTGGAATTTCTTGCGTTCCTCAAGCCTAGAGGTATCTCCATTTATACTTCCTCCTCGAGATTCCATTTAGGAAGGCTTTTTTAACATCTAGTAATGGCCGATCCAAATTCATAGCAATAGACATCAAAGCATTAATAGTGTTGAGTTTAGCTATTGGTGAAAGGTTTCTTGGTAGTCAATACTGTAAGTTTGTGTGAACCATCGAGCAACTAGTCGAGCCTTGTATTTATTGATCATTCCATTTGGATTATATTTGATTGTGAATACCCACTCGTTGCTCACAATTGATTTTCCCTTAGGTAAATCAGTAAGCTTCCAAGTCTTGTTCTTGTGGAGAGCTCGTAATTCCTCATCAATAGCTTCCTTCTTTTCAGGATCTGCCACAGCTTCCTCATAGCTACTGTGTATCCTGACCTTTTTAGCAGCTGCAACAAAGGTCCTTAGTTGAGGGGAAATCTTGTATTAAACATACCTGCTAAGGGGATGTTGAGTGCAGCTCCTTTTCCCTTTTCTCAAGGCAATTGGCCAGTGCAAGTCTTCAAGACTTGGTTTAGGTGCAGACTCTTGACTTTGCCTTGTTGTAGCAATGGACTTAACCCCACCATGTTGCTGTTCAGTGGCATTTTAAAGTTCTTCCACCATAGTCTCAGCTGAATCTCTATAAGAAGTAAGGTTCAAAGGCTCAAAGGGGTTAATATCTTGAAATCTGGACCTGGTGGATAATGATTCAGTGCTGGTGGGCGGTGGGTGAGATTTTTGTGGGCTGTTTTCAGACTTAGAAGGTGAAGTGGAAGGTAAAGATTAGTCTGATTGAGAAGAAGGTAGTGATGTATGTGGTTCATAACGGTGCTGATCAGAATTAACCTTGAGATAATCATGCTTGGTTTCACAAATGATCCATTCATACTTAGAAATCTTAGAAGTCATCTCCCCTTGAATGGGTGATTTGGGAAAAAAATGGCTGAGTTTGAAATTTGGCATTCATAATCACATAAACCTTATTATTTGAACGAGAAAAACATTTATAGCCTTTTTGAGATGAAGAATATCCTAGAAAAATGCACTTTAAAGCACGATAATTAAGTTTGCTCCCCCTTCGTTGTAAACAAAAGTAGTACATCCAAACACCTTTGTAGGAATATATGAAATTAGAGGGGAGAGGGGAAAACTTTCAAGAAATTTCTGAATAGGTGTCAAAAATTTAAAGTTTTGGAAGGCATGTGGTTTATCAAATATGCAGCAGTAAGAATAGTATCCCCCCAAAATCTATTAGGCACATTACTGTGCACTGTATGTACCCAAGCAACTTCTAGAAGGTGCCTATTTTTTCTTTTAAAAACACCATTTTGTAGTGGAGAATATGCACAAGATGTTTGGTGGTTGCAAACCATGTGAATTGCTGAAGTTTGTAAATTGAGAATTCAAATATTCCTTTCCATTATCACTCCTAAGAATCTGAATTTCAGTGTGAAATTGAGTTTGCACAAACATACAGAAATTTTTGAAACTAGAGAAAACTTCGGACTTATTTCTCATAAGAATGATCCAAGTTAAACAACTACAATCATCAATAAATGAAACAAACCAGCAAGCTTTAGAATTAGTTTCAATTTTAGATGGACCTCATACATCACTATGAATGAGAGTAAACGACTTATGGGATTATAAGAAGGAACTGGATAGGAGTTGTAAGTTTGTTTGGAAAATTGGCAAGTTTTACAATGGAAATCAGCAATAATTTTATTACTAATGTTGGGAAACAAAGCTTGCAAATAGTTAAGTCTAGGGTGACATAATCTAGAATGCCATAACTAAACATCATTCATAGATAGAGAAGCCAAGGCACAAGAAATACATGCTTTTGGTAAAGTTCCTTGAAGATAGAGTCCATACCACTCCTTAGCATTGCCGCACCCAGATTTGTCAAAAACAACATGACAATTAATTGGATGCATAATTCTACACGCATATAGCAAGACAATTCTACACGCATAT